GAAGTAAAATAAATAATAAAATGATGTTATATTATTCACCAAATGGTTCCAACTTGGATCCATTATCATTACAAATCTTCAACCAACTTGCTGTTCGCTTTACTAAGCAAAACAAGACTTTTCCTAATCGAATCAGAGACACGAGTTTTCACATGAAATGCGACACCTTGCAACAGATCAAATTATTTACTATTTGCTTTACAATCATTCTGTTTCGATTCTCAAAACTTTTCGATATCAAAATGTAACAAAAGCTTTTAAATGCGCATTTAGATTATCATCATTATCATCGAATAAACGCAAAAACGATACTTAAAAACGAATTCGTCTGCATCTGAAGTTAGCTATATTCATCAGTTATATTGCAAAGCTCATTTCTATTGAATCCAAATATTGTGACAAACTTTCAAACAAACGGTTGAACCTTGTCTTTAAGTTTTAAAGTTCAATTTTCCTTCAACTTAATCCTTTGTTTCTCGTGAACTTTTGTCTTTGTAAAAGGTCAGCGACTCTACTGACAGGAAATTGGTTTATTCAGTAACTCTGTTTTTTGCAAAATATCAATCATTTACTTTTCTTCATTTAGAGTGACAATTTAATCGCAGTTAATTTTGGAGTTAAGCTTTAATCGATGGCTTTATATTTTCAGATTCCTTATACAAGTAAGGCCTCAAGTTTTCTGGTTCATTGATTTGAGGTGAACTTCAAGAAGCTTGTAATGTCCAAAAGGATTGCGGTTTCACGAGCTGCAAAATGCCGAGAAAAGTTTGCCTCTGCACCGAAAGAATCTCTTAATTTCCATTTTGAATTCGCTAGTTTCTCTGGATTTGAAAAGTGTAAGCTTTCCATTGTTGTCAATACTGAAAATAAAACGTATTCAAGACTGTCTGATCTTGAGTAGTTTATAAATAACAAAGACGAAGATCATGAACTAATGAAAGTTGCCTGCAGTCAATCAATTTGCAACCTCGATTAGACTATTTGCAAAGTCGAGAGTCGTAAGTGTTGCCTGTAAGCAAATCGCATCAACTTATTTGCAATTCAATCTTTTGTTGATGGAAACTGTAAAGAACTTGTTCGTTAAATATTTACTTTTATGGTCAGTAATAAATAACTGACCCTTAAAAGTTGCAAGTTGAATTTAATTTCAATTTAAGCGAAATGGTTCACTTTTCACTCTATTTTTGTTCTTGTTTGACAAGAGAAAAAGATTAAATTCTGAACAATTTCACTTGCAATAACAAGCCAAGAATAAACCTCAAACCCAATCGGCACAACTTTGAAAACATTTTATTCAGTTTTGTACAAAAGTCTTCAATTTCAACCTTTTCCAGACTCTCATCATGTTACCTTACAAATTCATCAATACTTTGGTTCAGCTTTATTTGTTTTTAAAGAAACTTTCAAAATTTTCTCTCTGATATTTCTCCAATTCTTTCCCTTCCTTTGACCATTATTTGTTTTGACCTGTTTCTTGGAACAAAAGAGATATTAAAATGTTCAATGATGTGATTCAATTTGACTTTCCCATGATAAACGAAAAGATTGATGTAAACCTGAAATTGATATTTATATGTGAAAAAGTGAATTACAGATGAAAAGAAGAAAAAAAAGAAAAGAAAATTTGTCTTTTCAAAACTTTTGCTTCTCACGAACTTGGACAATGTTCACTTTAAATCCTTTTCTCTTTTCATCATTTTCTGTCCATTCAACATGAAACATTTTTACAGTTTTACTCAGCAATTTTCTCCGACAATTTATCAGTTCTCTTGAACACACAACTCATATTTTTCACTGTTCACTTTTCAACGTCAAACCTCACCTTTATAAGGTGAAAATGGGCGATACAATGAATGATGATTCCAATGATTATTTGTCTCTTGAGAGGATTCAATAGAGACATGAAAATGTATCAGGTATTACATGATGGAAATGTTAATATTGAATTGTTCCATTAGGTTTATAATGAATTATACAAATAGTCTATTGATGTCAACTCAATCGTTTCAACATTAAAACAGTCAACTACTAAATCATCGATTTACCTTTCATTTTTTCTCTTCTTCTTTTCAATCTTTTCATTTCTTTTCAATCAAGTGAATCTTGAAGTGTACATCATCAAGTAATACAATTTCATCTGTTGTCAGATGAAAAACAAGGTTCAATAAGCAAAACTAACAAACGATTTAATTTAATACCAACTCGAGTAACTTCAAAGCTCAATTAGTATCCTTCAAGTTATGATAATAAGACATTTCATGAATAACCCTGATGCGTGGGAATGAATAGAGTTGAGATCAATTTATTGTAAAAGCAACAAAGTTTCTTGTAAAATCTGTAAAATTATGTTTTACCAAAACATTCATTCACTTGACATCATTGAAATGCAAGTGTTAGTTGAAATCGTTTTGTTTCTAATGTTTAATTACATTAAAGTTTCTAGATTTAGTCGTCTTCAGAAATCAAAAGAACTAGAAACTCATTCAGTATTAAAAGACTGTTGACAAGCTTTGCATCAACTTCTTCAACTTAGGTCAATGTCTGATCAAATCGATTCGGTTGAATTGTTCATTTTAAAAGATTATCAAAGTCTCTCAATATTGAGGGTGTATCCGGTCAGTGAAATTTTAACCAAGATTAACCGAGATTCTTGGTTAATCTCGGTTAAAAAAATTAACTGACATGTGATCAAAATTAACCCAGATTAGCTTTAATGCCATCTATTGATTTTAAAAATTAATTTTTTAATTAGATTGAAATATCGTCAGCTGATTTGATTCAATTTTTTAATTTTTCAATGCGCATGATAATCAAATTAACCAAATCAGTACCGGACACTTTATTTTCTTATCTTATCTTTTTCTTAACAACTTTAGTCTTTTAACCAAGATTAACCAAGATTAACCAACATTTTTTTCATTGACCGGATACACCCTGAAAATCTTTAGCATATATTTTGCTTTCAGTTTCTCTTTTCAACTTTTCAGTTCTATTTTTACCTCACATTTATCATTCAAAATATCAGAGTGTTGATGTTAATCAAGATGATGAACGATGAAACAATCCACAGAAAAATAAACATTTTCTTTTCTTTAGACTTCGATTCAAAGTTTAAAATTTATCATCAAGTTAGCATTGTAACAAAAAGACTGTCAATATATTGAAAATGGCAATGACTTTGATCAACTCTGCTAGACAAAACTTGCAAAGTTCATTCATTTTCACCAAAAAGCCAGACTATTGATGTGACTCTAAGAGCTCAAAGACTTTATTTAGTCGTTTATCGACTCAATTAGCGGCCTCAAAATGAAACTTTCAACTGCTTTTCGATTTGAACAAAGCATTTGCTATTCAACTGCAACTACTACAAGGATAGTTTTGATGATACATTAATAATTTGATCTGGTTCTAAAGAACATTTAGTTTCGCGTCAAAATCGGATCAACTAAAGATGAATGTCTATTCAACTACAATTGACTTTGATCACGAGTTAACGAGCTTTTGTTTAAACGTATTTTCGTAAGGTTGAAGCAATATGTTTAAATGTTAATCGTCAACTGATTTTGAATGATGCAGCATTTAACTAAAGATGTCAAGTTGCCAAATAATATTGACAAAAATAGATGATAAAAAATGGTGAAAAGGTTAAATGCAAGTCTTTTTAACCGTCAAATGATTGCAATCTCAGTGAATCTGCTTTATTCAGTGTTCAACAAAATCGCGACTAAAAATGAAGGTAATTTCCTCCCTTTTTTTGACTACATTTAAATTTTTCAAGTCAAAACAGATTGATTAATAACCTGAATAAAGACGCTTGAAAAAAGATTGTCTTAATTCCTTTCAAACCAATTTGCATAATATTCATACATAATAAGTATCATCTTGGCTTTGATTGAAAGCTAATTTCATCTCTTTACCTTTTCCCAAACAACATTATTATAATTTAACGATAATAATGTAAAGTAAAAGGTAAAAATATAAAATTAATTTCAAAAGGAATCATAATTTTCATCTCAAGTTTACATGAAAAATGACTTTACTTGAAAACTCTCGAGAGGTTCATTCCAAGTGAATAGGAAAAAGCATATCTCTTGATTGTGATTACCTTTTTTTACACATGATGATATTCATTCTGTAAGGTAGTCAAGCAATCATAATAAGGATTAATGGGAATAAATTTGAAGATGAAAAAGCTCTTTATGTTTACTGGAAAAGAGTATTTTAATTAACCATTTAGAGTTAATTAATCAGTGAACATGCAACAGTCATTCGATTAGGTGATTAATGATGAATTTGAAAAAAGATGAACCTCTTGATGTTGCCATCAAAAATTGAGATTCACTTTGCAATTGACTTTGATCGAGCAAAGACATTGAAACGATTCGACAATTTGGTTGAATATTAATCTGAACCTGAAGCTATTGAGTATCATTTCCTCAGGAAAAGGTAGACATTGTAAATGTTAGGTAAAAATGGAAATTTTTAATTCAAAAATTGTTCCATTGCCTTTGGGTTTCACTGCAATTGCTACTCTGCAGATATTTTATTATTATTTACAGTTAACTTGGTTAGACTGAATTAACATTATAATTTGATTTGCCAAGTGTTTCCATTCAAATGAATGGACAAATTGGGTTTAGAGTTAAATTGTTGCTTCAAATGTTTCACATTTATGCAAATCTAGTTACAAGTCGAATAATGAAAAGACCCAAATTTAGTGTAAATTGACTGAAACCAGTTAAATGTAAATTCAAACAGAGACAAGAATGTCTTTTAATAACTTAAAATTTCATCTTAAATTCAATGTTACAATAATAATGCAAAACAACCAGAAAATCAAATATTGAACCCAAAACCCAAAAATGAATTTTTCTTTCTCGTTTTCCTTTTTGCTTTTTGTTTTTGCTCGTGTTTTAGATGATCGCTTTCAATTGTTTGTTTGATTTCAACTCTTATTAGTAAATTATGAATCAACTAATTTGATAAATTTTACTCTACAGTTGGACTGATGAAAAATTTCCGATCGGAACATCAAAAAGTAATTTCAAGTTGATCATTGAGATCGTTGAAGCTCCAAATGTTACATTGCCAAAGGATTCATCGGTTTCCATTAAAAAGATCTCATTGGAAAACTGTTTTCAAAGTAAGTTACCTTTTCCATCATATTTAAATTAACCAAACCAATTAACCAACCAAATAATTAAGGTTAACCTTTTTAATTTTGCACAATCATAATTAAAGATGACACTTAACAATATATTGAAAAGTTGATGCTTTTGCAAGATTTTTTGTGCTCTTTTCTAGTTAACCATTTTCTGGTTTTCACCGATTTCATGGACTAATCAGTCATTATTAGTCTTCAAGTTAACTCCATTTTTCATCAACTTTACTGGTTCTCATTAATTTAACCAGTTGATATTACCATTTGTGATTGATTAACCCAATTACCAATGCAAGTATTAGACAAATTATTGTCAACCCAAAATGAACCCAGACTTGACATTGAAAATAACAAGGGAAAAGTGTATCGTAACTGATCGACATAAAGGTAAACAAAGTGTAATTGCTTGTTGTACCTTTTTTTCAATTGTTGTTTCATTTAACCAGTGATTACACTAATCAAGTTATAATAATTAATGCTGCAAGGAAAATTGTTATGCTTGTCGTTGAACATAATGAGATTAACTTATTTCATTTGCAATATTAAGGTTAATTTGATTGAGAAAAAAAGATCTGCAGATTCATTGTGAGGCCAAAATTTTCACCATTTCCAGTTAACCATTAATATTTATTCAGTAATCAAATTTACCAGTTTCGTTGAGTGGACAAGCTCATTAAAATACAATTCAATATTATCAGCAAACAGAAATAGAAATCGAAAAGAAAAGCAAAACCTGAGAAAACCCAAAAACCCAAGAAAATATTTCAGAGGCTAATAGTAAAACTGGTTGTTCATCCGCTGCTTGATATCAAACATTGAAATTAAATGCTAAATGTGTTAAAATGAAAACCGTTGATGTTGAACAGAAATAGTAAATTCTGTAAAGTCTAGAGTAACTTTTCAGTTTCATTGAATCTGAAGACATAAGATTCGCTTTTCATAATAATATTATGTAACGTTATGTAAGTGTTGATCGATAACATTTTGCTGACTCAATTTTGGTTGAACAATTGATAATTGAATAAACTTGCAAGTTTAACTCATAACAGTGAAGAAGGAAAAATTGAAACATTCAAAGTCTCTTTCCAAAGTGAACCCACAATAAATTCAAATGAATGGAAAATTAAATCAAAATTTTCCTTTTTCTTAAACTTCTAAATGCTTCAATTTCTTGCAACAAAAGTCATGTAAAGATGTACCTGAGAAGCCAACAAATCTTGTGTTGCAAAGTGAACTGAATATAAACTTGAAAATTTGTTTCTTCAAACCTTTAACTCAAAATGAAAAGGTAAAGAAAAAAAAGAATGTTAAAATTTGGTAAAAACACACAGATTATTACCCAAGCACATGAAGTTATTAGACATTTGAATGTTCAGAAAATTTCATGAGAAAAAAAGGAAAGTTGAAGATAAAAATAAGTTAATAACTGTTGGCAATTGAGTCAATTTGAATCGTAATCATTCAATTGGAAATTTTATCAACTTGTTTAAATCTTTTTTGCTCATTTTTCCTTCCTCAAGCTTGACCTATCTGATTCTGTTAATTCAAAATGTTCATTCTGGGAGTGAAAAAACGTGATATCGATTGAAGCTTCAAGATTCAAGTTGCATCTTGACTCTCTTCATCTTTCCTCATCATTATCATCTTATTTTGCTCATCTTTCAGCATGTAAATTTCAGAATTATATTGTTCATTGGATGAAACCATTTAATATTAGTTATCACTTTGAATTTACTCGATTCTTCATTGGAATCGTTTCCTTCCTCTTCCATCATTCATTGTTATTCTCATTTGGATTCTCTAATAATCATAATCATCATAACCATTGTTATTACTTATAAGGGTTACAGTTAAATCAATTGTTTGCTCAATTCTGTTTTTGACAGATTCACCAATCTCAGGCCTTTCCAATGACTATAAATGTTTACCAAATTTAATTTCATTTAGACTATTAATAACTAAATTTGATGGATTAAATAGCATTAAATGAGTTAAATACGTTTCATTGAAACTTGGATACTAATAGTGTTTATGTAACTTTTAATTAGCTTTTGTAATTTACTTGGATTTACTCTAATCATCACAGAGTTTATTGTTAACAGTCAATTATTTTAAGGTTACATTTGTATGTACATTAGAGATGTAATCAAATTGAACACTTTTTTCTTGCTTTAACCAGAAAAGCAAACAACCATAAATGGTAAACCCAAAACTGGTTAATGTGATGTAAATAAACTGCCCGTATTGAGTTATAGTTAATTATAAAATGTTTATTGTCTAATTGATGGTACAAATTGTACATTAGTATAATTAATGTCTCAACAATTTGATAAGTTTACAGTCAAGTTCACTTTTAGAAAGGTTTGACCCAAAATTACGTTTAATAAACCAAACCAATTTGGGTTAAGAGCTTCAATTCTGGTATCCATTGAGACAAAGCTTGAATTAGAGGAGATAAGTTTAATTTAATTTGAGGCCAATTTAAGGTTGGTTAAGTTGGATTCTTGGTTGATGGTGTCTTCAATCATTCTGGGTCTTCTTGTTGATCAACTTTTCATCTGTTTATTTTGACAGGTCCACTAAATGGTATTAATAATGATTGTCCAATGAAATGTTCATCTAACTCAATTTGTATTACCAGTGATCAAATATGTGACCTATTAATTGATTGCCCTGATGGTGAGGATGAAAGACAAGATTGTGGTAAGTTAATCAAAACCATTAATAATTCAATTAATACTTACTTTGGTTTGGTAATCATTTCTTGTTTCTTCATTAATTTTCTTCTATTGCTTTTGATATACTTTGAAAGTTTCAAGCAGTGATTGACTTTTAATTCTGGTGCAAACAATTCACATATCACCATTAATAGACTACGATAAGTGAATATAAATATTTGTTATTTACTTGAATCGAGTAAACAATAGTTAAGCTGACGGTTTTCACTGTAATTTTCAAAGCCTCTTGTTTTAAAGATAATACCTAATAATATTTCATTGCACTTTTTCAACCTTGTTATTACCTTTTTCCTCTTATGTTTCCAATTATATTCCATAGACATTAAATTAATTCATCGTAATCAATCAGAACTAATGGAAAAGGGTTTACCTTCTCTTTCATTGTTCAATGATAATCCTTTTTCTCTTGATCGGATAGAAAAATTTGTTTAGAAGAAGCCCAAAAAAATCATCAGCAGTACATTCAAGTGATTAAGCATGAAACGTTCACCGAGTTTCCTTTTTTTCTTCTGGAATCTTTGTTTATTTGTGTAACTTTCAGTTAAGCTAACAGTCAAGTTAACAGTTAAATGAACAGCTAATTCAATCGATTTGGCCACTCTCAAGTTTAAACTGAACCCAATTAATCAAAGTGTTGATAGTGTTTACAGCAAAGTTATCCCATAATAGCAAAGGCAGGTTACATCTCTCCATTGAACCATAACATGTTGCTGTTGAAATATATTAATAATGATAACACGCCATGAATAGACTTGCCATTGAATCAAGAAATTGGAATCTAAATATAATGTCATTTAAAAGTAAAATCGGTTAGATTTACATTATTAAACATACATTTCTCTGAATAATCGAATAAATTATTTCCATTTCGCTTACCTTTTACGTAAAAACATTTCAATGCTAAAAAGATGTCTTTAATACCTTTTCACCATAATTGCTTTGGTTTATAAATACAAATACCTAGATATAACAGATGACTTTAATATAACAGGTCCATTGACCATTAATATCAATAATGACAATAAGATTATCTATTAATGTAATCAATTGATCATTCTAATAATAGAATCACTTGGGCAGACTTTTGTTCTCCTTGCTGGTTAGCCTAATGGTAAGGAAAATAATGGACACTAACGTTGAATTGTTGAATTACCAGGTAGACTGTCAAAATTCTGACAATTCTTATTTTTAACGAGTGAAACTTGTTATGTTGCTATTGTGACACAAAATTGAATTAACACAAATTGGGTGACAAAAGTTTACCAGAAAAAATTATTAATGCAACAGTAAACATTCAAAGTTTCCGTTAACATGAAATAGAAAGAGAAAAATATTTGCTTTCTTTTTTAATCAACCCTTTTTTACGTAAGATGGCGACGCTATTGAAAAACGCTTACAATAATCCAAAGAGTTACTCTTTGCAATAATCGCTTTGTTTTGTTAATGAAATTACCGTGAAATGATTGACGATTAATTAGAGTGATTAATTTTTAACTCTATTTTCCTTTGTTTTTCTTTCTTCTTAACACATTGTTTCATCTGTTACTTCAACTAATTAACCTGTAGATAAATTACCTAAGGGAGCTTATTGCTCATTCAGTGATGATACTTGTGGTTGGTACATCGTTAATAAGAGTAAACAGTATAAACACGATTTAACCGTTAAAAATGGAACCCTTTTTACCAAATTTACCTCACGGACCCAATTTGCTGATGGACTGTTTATCAAGAGTCCAGAATTTCCTCCAATTCCATATTATCATTCATTCAAATCATCACCATTTTATAAATCATGTAAAGTGAGTATTTCTCGTTGTTTGGGTAAATCTTGATACTCAAGTTTCAATTCTTGTTTTTCCTTTAATCCATTTAGATTCGCTTCTCGTACAAATTCAAGCCCAGTGCTGCAAGTTTTGGAATCCAGATATTTGAAGAGACTGATCACAATGGGAATGAGTTAATTGGTGAACACATTTTAACCACGAGAGATTCTCGGATAATCTGGAGACGAATTGTATTACCATTGCCATCCTTCCACAGAAATAAGTTTAATGTTACATTTGAGGTGCTCAAACGAGAGGTAACCGGACGAGAAGTTCCAATTTACATTGATAATATTACATTATCAAAGGAATGCTTTGGTTTAGGTAGGTGATTCAATCAACATGAAGTAATGACCATGATTATGGTATAAAAGAAAATGATTGACAAAATGTGTATCAATTATGTAATATTGATTAAACGAGCAATCTATTCATTGAGCATGATTACTCGACATTCCTAAATCTGAGCATTGTTGAAGAGAATTATTCTGTCAATCGTATTCTGTTTGTCTCTCAACCTTCTTTTTGCATCAATAATTTTATCTACTTTGAGTTAATGGTCCTTGAATTAACCTCAAATCAGATGGTTAATTATATATTACCATCGTTAGCATCAGGTTCTCAATCAAATAGGATTGATCCTATCAGATTCAGAAGTAAGACTTGGCTAAATTTGCTTTTTTATCCTCTACTTACCCTAAAAATGACAGAAAGGGTAAAAGTAGTGTTCAAAGGATAAATTCTCAAAGGTTAAGCTCTTTTTTATTTAGTTTTCTTCTTGGATAGTTAATCCTTTTGAATACATCTCAACAATGTGCAAATAAATCGATTGATCCACCAGCTAATGGCTTGATTGTCCAGTTTTCTGTAATGTTTTTCCCTCTCAGACTATTTTGACTCGTTTCTATAACCTATGATATTTATTTTTATTGCAGGAGTTCCTTTAACTGAAATTCGTGATCCACCAGCTGTTGAATTGAATGGCGAAGCTAAAGACTTAAGAGTTTCTTCACATTATCCAGGTATATACTGTTGTAATCAAATCCTTTAGCCTATGATATAATCAAAAGGCTAAAATGTCACGATCATCTATAAAAAGTTTCATTGCAAATCTAATAATTCCTCCTCTTAATTTCTCATGTGTGTAGGGTCAAGTGAATTAATTTTCATTGGAATTCTCCTGGTGATAATAATTTTCATTCTTTTGGGTATTTTCATATCTTTCGGTAAATATTGATTCTTTATTGTTTTTCACTCTTTAATTGGAAATTGTATCAATTTTTTCCAGTTCGTCGTTATAAGAGAAAGTTTCCGCCCAGCTCATCAAATAATCGTAATCATTGTGGTGAACGTGATGTCTCATCTTCTCAATTATTATCAAATAGTTCAACTGATGTACAGTTGAGCCGTCTCCGAAATGGACACAATATAGTTACTGAGTTTAATCCTAACTATGAATTTGGTGGATCAACTTGTACACTTTCTGATCTTCGAGAAATTCCAAGAGATAAACTTACGCTTGTAAAGTAAGTCTTTTTCATTCTTGGACGAAAAATTAAATTATAATCTACTTTATTATTTAGAATTAATTGCCATTATTTTACTTTTTTATGATTGATTCATTGTTTGATTTTTGTTCTGATTTTTCACTTGATAGGGCTCTTGGCCAAGGAGCTTTTGGTGAAGTTTATCAAGGTTATTTGATCAACTTGTCCGGTGAAATGCTCGATGAAGTTCCTGTTGCAGTTAAAACTTTACCTGAACAAACAGCCAATAATCAGGCTGAAATGGATTTCTTAATGGAAGCTCTGATTATGTCAAAGTTTCGTCACCGAAATATTGTACGATTTATTGGTGTTTGCTTTGAAAAAATGCCTAGATTCATTGTTCTTGAACTTTTAGCTGGAGGTGATTTGAAAACATTTCTCCGTGAATCTCGAGCTTCGATCAACAAACCATCTCCAATTTGTATGGGTGATTTATTAGTAATTGCATTAGATGTTGCTCGAGGCTGCCAATATTTGGAAGATAACCATTTCATTCATCGTGATATTGCAGCTCGTAACTGCTTGTTGACATCTAAAATCAAATTACCCAGTTCATCTACTCTTTACTCAACTGATGGAGTTTTCAAGATGGAAAATTATAACAATGGCTTCAATGGTAGTGGAATTGTAGTTAAAATCGCTGATTTTGGAATGGCCAGAGATATTTACAGGTATTTTTCTCGAATAATTATAATATGATTATATGCTAATTAATCTATTTTCCCATTGAAGATTGAATTAAGCACTGATTACTTCATTCACAAATTTGATTCTAACTCTGGCTTATTTTTATAATTTACTCTTCTCCAGGTCAGATTATTATAGAAAGGGAGGAAAAGCAATGTTACCCGTTAAATGGATGCCACCAGAAGCTTTCCTAGACGGCATATTCACTTCTAAAACAGATGTATGGTCATTTGGTGTTCTGCTTTGGGAAGTAATGTCCATGGGATTCATGCCTTATCCAGGACGGGGTAATCAAGAAGTGATGCAGTTGGTCACTGCGGGTGGAAGATTAGAGCCTCCTAACAATGCATGTCCAAGTCAAGTTTACGCAATTATGCAACAATGTTGGCAAGCGTTACCCGAAAATAGACCTAATTTTGGAACCATAATTGAACGTTTAGGCTATTGTTTAGTGGATCCGGACGTTTTGTCGAAAAAATTGGCCATTTTCCATCGAGCTCCTTCCTCTGAGCGTGATATTACCATTATGAGGCCTCCACCTGACTCAACCGATTACCTCATACCTAATGCTTGTTCCAATTCCAATTCTAATTCCAACTATTCCATTTCAACGGAAAAAACTGAGTTACTTTCACCAGACACTTGTTCAACTGTTACCTCGGGTAATGATGATGCCTGTAAATTATCCATGATGATGATGATGATGGATGATGGGTTAAATGGTATCGATCATTTTAACTCACCATTAAGCTCTTCCACCCATTCACAGCGTTTGTTAGAAAAAAAGCCTTTACCAGATCGTCCACCTCCTGAAAGACCGTCCAAAGTCAACTTAAATTGTAAACTATCTGAATCAAGTAATCGAAGTGATAATAGAGATGAATTGCGTTCTTTAATTCTTGATCCTGGATCTTTAGGAAATAAAAACAATTCAACTGGTTCCGTTAATCAAAACCCAACGAGATATATCAATGTGGACATGGCCTCTGATAATTCAAATCAGTTGCAAGTTTAAATCGACCAAAAATGAAACATCTCATCTTTTTAATTCGTCTTCTTTCGATACTTCCCGGACATCTTTCATTGATCCTTTCTAGCCACTGTTAAGCATTTTCAGATGTTTTCAGTTGATGATCATAACATTGAAGATAAATTCAAATCTACTAATTCTGAGCCCGATTCGTACAAAAACATTTTAATCAATCTAGTCAAAGGAATCATCTTCAACTTGCCAATTTGATTACGTTCTCACTGTCCTTTCCTTACTCAACATAGTACGCTTATCCATGTTAACATGTATATTGAAAATGCATAATTGATGCCAAAGACTCATCCAACTGTAAAAATCAAATGCCCATTTTCAAATCATTCAAATTAATTTAAATAACTATTATTGACTACAATTAACATTGTTAATTCTTCCAGTTTACAATACTGTTGGCAGTTATTAATTTGCTTAACATAAAAAAGAAATTCAAAAAAAAATTGTATAAATGCTCTGTGATAAACAAATGAGTATATAAAGCTCAACCGAATAAATCTAATTATAATTTAAACACTATTTTTCTAATTTAATAACTTTTTTGAGTTATCCATTCTTCTCGAATTGAGCTGCAAGAGATTCGTCGTTATTTAACTAGCTCAACATTGATTTCCTCGTCGCCATGAGCCATTTATGAAACTTCAACATCAACATATGTGTTGTTACCAAATATGTTTCTCAACAGATCATCATCGTCATCATTACATGTATTTAAAAATCTATCAGTGTCATTTGGTGTATCTTCAGTAAGAATCTAAATCAAAAGATAAATAAACGATACAAATGATAACTTAATTTCAAAACTTAAATACTTACCCGAATCTGTAAACCTTTTTCAAGTGATTTTGGACTTTAGGAAGGTACTATTGGAAATAAGAATTATTAAAAATATATGATTATCAGAAATTTCATGTCATCCAGAGTGAAATTAGCTTCTTGATTAGAATTGTCTTTTTCATCTCTGAGCTCTTTTCAATTTTTCAATATCACTGATTGACTCAGACCCTACAAACGCGCAAAGACAAACTCTTAACTCGAAAGGAAAATTTTTTCCGTACTCTTTTTACTCTTAAAAAACTCTTTCTACATTTCCATTTTGATTATGAACTTTATCTTTCATTTTAAAAACCGCTTATTTGTTTTTTTAATCAACATTCAATAAATTGCTTTACTCAAAGATCAACTTGTCAATCATGGATCATTTTAGGGGCATATGATTTTCAATGAGTAGCCAATCTAGAGGGTTATTTATCAGAATTTGAGTTTCATCTGTAACACTCCGCCTGTGGAGCGTTAAAAATGTAAACTATTGATTATTGTCTGATTTCCTCATGAAATGGTAGATTGATGAATAAAACTTATTCAAGGCTTTTCAGATTTTTGGTTTTACATTAATCGGAAAACGAGTGATAAAATTGGCGACAATTATTATGTGAAAAATTGTGACGAACATGAAGATTGTCACAACTGATTAACTCAAAGTCAATCATTTTACAGTCATTTCTTGCATGTCAACCATCAACAACACATTTTAAAATGAAGAATAAAAAAGCATCTTGAAAAATTCACAATTCATTCATTGTCTACTTTAGGTAAACATTGGCTTGGATTTTTGTTTGAATTTGTTTAATCAGTTGTCTAAATAAATTTGAACAATCATATTAATGTTAAAACCATCAATTCATATTTTTTCCTTTCTATTACAATGATATAAATTTCTATGTATCTTGGCGTTTGTATATTATTTTGTTCACTAATTTTTTGCAACAAACTTCCTCTCTTGCCTCTTTCATAATGGTTAATGATTATTTACACAATTACATTGATCATTTGCACATCGACCATGAAAAACTTCAGCAAACGATGAGAAACATATTGATTAATTGTCCTTTGAGGGTCACAATTTTCAACAGTTTTCATATTCTTATCAATTTGTTACATTGTCATCGTAATCAATCTTTCTCTGTTAACCAATTAGATGATTTTGTGTGATATTATTGAAAAGTGTTCCAAAAAAATCAGCAAAATTTTGTGAATAATTTGCATCATCATTCTGAAAACAGTTGATCCATTGAATTGTTGTTAACCGTCGTCATGAAAACTTTTCCAGATTTGAGATGTAAAATGTTAAGAAAATAAATCTTTCTCAATTTAATTTCAATCTGTGAATTTAACAAAATTACGGACATCTGTGATCCAACTGAAGTCTGTAACTGAGTGTACAATTTGAGCTTGCAATTGTATTGTATCAAATCACAGAAGGAATATTATCTTTCAACAATAAGAATCGTCGATTAGCCTTGAAATTGTTATTACAGACCAAATAACAAAGTTAACCATTACTGGTTTGGAAGATTGTTAACATAAAATGCTTCGACATATTTTAAAGTTGACGTTTCCTGAAATTATTGAGTTACTTCGTTTAGATGTTTATTTTGCTTTGTTTCTATTTGGATTAGCCATTCCATCTGTAACAGCAAGCCAATTTATCCAAGACAAATTTTGTATCAACCAATTGAAATTGGATCCATCACAGTGTTTACATCTGGAGACACTTGGACCCGAATATGAGGAAATTAAGAACAAGGTTTACGCCTTTTCAACAATTTTCAAAAATTATCAACATCTGATCACAACTCCGCCAGGAATAATTTTGTCCGTCTTCATGGGCTATTGGATCGACTCTTATCCAAAACATCTGAAATATCTGTTGGCCCTTCCGTGCTTTGGAGGTTTTCTTTCAGCCATTTTCGCCATTTATCATGTCATCTACTTTGAATTGGGTAAGTTTTCTTGACATAATGTCTCTTGACTATACTGTCACTGGTCAACTGGTGTACTAATTGCAATTCAATTGTATTTCAAGATGTTTATAGTCTTCTGTGGTTGTCCGTTGTGCATGGTCTCACTGGTGGATTTTTCATCGTCATGACAGGGTCGTATACTTATATAACCAGAAGGACAAAGGCTAAATATCGTGCAGCTCGGTTCGCCATTTTAGAGCTGTTTATCTTTACATGTAAGTATAAATATTAGTATTAAACACGCACTAAATTTTGATTTCTTTTAACTATTTTCACCAGCAATCCCATTAGCCACAGCTATTGGTGGAAGACTATTGACGACAAAGCCTTGGTTTGGAGGACAGTATCGCAATTATTTTGCCGTTTTCTTCATCAGCTTAGTATGTAAATTGAGCGCCATGATTTGGGTTTTAATCTTTTTAAACGATGCAGATAAAACAATAGACGATCTTGATGAATTAGATAGAGCAAAAAACGATATAAAATTGGATTTGACAAAACCATTACCAATCAAGCCAGGAGATGAAAAAATGGTAGAGATTGAATTGGATCCTCAAAAAACTGATTCTGTGACGCCGGTGAATGAAAATAAGGAGGTTATGAAAAACATGAAACCCACTGGTTTTATAGAAATATTTTTGGACATCTTTAATCCATCGACAGTTTCCAATATGATAAAGGTTTGTTGCCAAAAAAGACCCAATAATGGCAGGAAAATATTATGGAATCTGATGTTTGCCATGAACGTGATGCTTATTGGCCATATGGGTGAATCAACTATTGGTTTTCCATTTGCTCAGAAAGTTTACCATTGGGATGCTGCTTATTATTCATTTATTACTTCTGTAATGATGATTATTCCAACTTTAAGTCATTCCTTTTTACCAATCATTCTAATTCACAAATTTCATCTGCCTGACACAGTCTTGGCCATTATTGGTGCTGTTTCACTCATATTCGCTTTGATAGTTAGAGGCGGAATCCTGGAATCCTGTGCTTTCTATATTTCCACAATTATTGGCCTTTGTGCTGGTTTACTTCCAATTGCTATTAGATCCATTATATCTCGAATCATTGATCAAAAAGAGGTTGGTCAAGTATTTGCTCTATTGGCATGCATAGAATCATCTGGTCCAATGGTTGCCTCTGTGGTCTACTCGACGTTATTCAGTGTTACTATTCAAGATTTTCCAGGACTTGTACATCATTTTGCTGCGTTAACCATGTTTTATCCTTTTGCAGTCGTCCTTTGGCTTGATTTAACAAGACATAAATGGGATAAAACAGCAATCACAGAACTGGAAAATAAAAAGAAACAGAAAATTATTGAAAAGAAAGAATCAGACAGTGTTAATAATAATCCTAATGGGAATGAGTGTTTTACCATATCTTCCAAGGTTGACTAAATTTTTAAATTCAATAAAAATTTTATTAATTGCGATGAATTTCATAACTAGAGATAAGTTTTGCTGAAGGATATGACAATGATATGTTATGACACATTAATCTGATTGAAACTTATGAACTAGCCGCCAAACCTTTAAGAATCAAATGTTACATTTTTAAGTTTACAAACGCCTTTGTGTTTTCTTAGTTGACACTTACTTGATAGCAAAGAGTAAAGGAAGTGTCCTTTACTCTTTGCTTGATAGTTTTCCAATGTTAACGAAATAATGGGAATGCACATGAATGATGGCGTTGGTTAGATAAATTAACAGGTGATTTGGCAATGGAGTTGATTTGATAGGTTTTATTTACTTTTAAATTAAACCAGATTTTAATTCCTAGAATCAGACATCTTTTGTCACAGGAAAATATGTTCAAGAGACGACCAATAAGCTATAGACAATACAGATATGCCTGAATCAATTTAGCTAAACTATTTCTGAACATGGTCATCTGGATAATCAAAAATCTCGGCGTCAACTCAATTCAAGATTCAAGATATGTAGGATTAGGACTTGATATAGGATTGAGTTACTTGATTTGATCACAAATAATTTCCATCATATGTCCAGGTAGCTTGTCATCGGGATATAAATATAATTTAGCAATCGATCAGCTCTGTTTGCATTATAATCACATCCTCAAAGTGACTTGTATACAGATGGAAAAAATTGTTGGACCCTTCTGATGTAAATCCCAAGCTGATGGCCAAGTTACAGTGCTTTCACCATAATTTATGTGATGATAATAAGTTCTCCATATCCATTCACCCACAGGCACAGATCATCTGAATTGATGAAACAAACAAAAAGGTAGAGTTAAAACGAGAACGAAGATATTTTCAAAATTAACCTTTTATAACGACATCACTTATTCATCAAAACATGTTGTCATCTTTGTTTGATTTTTACTATTGCCAATGACTTCAAAGATTATTCAAATATCAATATGTCAACATTCAATTTACAATTAAAAAACAATTTAAAATTAATAATTAAAAAGACACAAAATTTGAACCGTATAAGTCTGATTTGTCTCACTAGATGGCTGTACTTAAGGTTTGCAATGTAAATTTTTCATTGCTTTTATCAATTCATTTGGTTTCAACTTGATTATTCAATGCCTATTTGAATACGTTAGAATTGATCGATTAAATTGATTATCTTTGTTAATTGTTAACTTAAATGCTTTGATCACTATGTTTCAACTTAAACCGGTAGGCTGCCTGTAAACTTTTGCTTCATTTTCTCATTAGTGCCTGATTCTGTTGTTTTTTACTCACTTTTCTGTATTGCAGACCGGGCGAAGTGAAAAATACGCCCATTCATCTCTTTTCCTGAACTGTTTCAAATAAATTATATTTTTATATTCAAGTTATATATTTACAATTGTTGATTTTGTATTATTAAAATGGACCCATCAGAAGGATCTATTCATGTTGATGAAGATGACCACGATGACCTTTTTGTATCTGCTATTGACGTAAGTTATCTACCTTGATGGTTTTTTTATTTCAATTTTATGTCATTGTATTGATTTTTTACTCATTTTTATCTACATTTTCTTCCAATATGTCAACCATCTTCTATCTCTATTTTAGCAAAGCCAATCGCGTCAAACATCTCAGGGTACTCTCAAATCATCAAATAATACTATGGAAGATTTAAATACTGTAGGAGACGAGATTGATCTCGGTGATGATGATGAGCTGGAAGAGGAAGAAGGCAAAAATGAAAATATAAACAGACAGGAGCAAGTTAGTGGCCCTCAGTCAATGTTAATCAAAGTAAACCCTTTGGAAAACACTAATGGCGGCTCTATGGAACCTAGTGGACCCTTGTCAGATATGAGCTCATTGAAAGCTACTATTGATGCTTCTTGTACATCTAAACATACTTCTGAAAACGTAGCATATCGACCTAGCGGTTTAGATAGAAGAACAGCTGAGATTGATTTTCAAAGTGAAGAAAGTGATACGTTTCTTGAAATTAAAGTTGCTGATCCACAAAAAGTGGGAGAAGGAATGGGATCATATGTTAGTTACAAAGTCTCAACTCGGACCAATATACCCAGTTTTCGTAAATCAAATTTCTCTGTTAGTCGTCGTTTTTCTGATTTCCTTGGACTTCGTGAGAAACTTGCTGAGAAACATATCCATTCAGGTCACATTGTTCCTCCTCCTCCAGAAAAGGATGCTGTCAACAATGCCAAAGTCATTATGTCCAAAGATGATTCCACAAGCTCATCTGACTTCTTGGAGAAACGAGCTGCCTCTCTGACCAGATTTGTCAACAGAATCGCTACACATCCAGTACTTAAATCTGACCCTAACTTCCGTGAATTCCTCGAACTTGAAAGCGAACTACCCAAAGCAAAAAGCACATCAGCACTTAGTGGAGCTGGTGTAAGACGACTCTTTAATAGGATGGGCGATACTGTTAGCAAGATTACATTCCGCATGGATGAAACTGACCCTGTAAGTGTTGTTAAAAACAATGTGGTGTTTGTCATTTATCAATTTCGCAGTTTTTTTAACAAGAAAATCTAATGCCGGATAGAATCAATATTTTTTCTCCGGAGATTGTTTTAGTCGAAAATGATTAGTATAATCCTTCCAAGAAAAAATTTCTTTCATATCATGCAATAGCATTTGACGTTTAGTCATGTTAAAGTGGTTCTGCTTTTCCATCAAAGTAGAGATCTTTGAATATCTGACTGTGATAACCAGATGAAAAGTTTGCCTGGATATTGTTTGTTATTTCTGTTTACGCCTTTTTATTATCAAATCACGGTATTGATTGTCCTTTCATATAAGTCTTTAAAACGCCTACTGCAAGGCTGCTTAATTGCTATCTAATACTCACAATCACCATGTTTCGTTGTTCTTACCTTTCTCTCTTTCCCCTTCTAAATTGCTTTCCAATACGCTATTAGGCCCTCTTCTCCTTGTTTGAGGTAAACTTGGAAACAAATGTTTTTAACTACTTTTAAAGACCATTTTGATATTTTTTTATTCTTTTACATTTTCTTAATTCAAACTTATTTTCTTATTTTTTTTTGCTTAATTTAGTGGTTTGAGGAGAAGCAGCATCAAATCGATATTCTGGACCAACAGCTTCGTAAACTCCAAGCCAGCGTTGAAGGATTGATTCATTTCCGTAAAGAGTTAACTCAATCTACTGGCTCATTCGCTAAATCTGCTGCAATGCTGGGAAATTGTGAAGAGCACACTGCCCTTTCTTGCGCACTTTCTCAATTAGCTGAAACTCATGAGAAAATCGAGCAACTTCATGCTGACCAAACAAACTCCGATTTCTACCATTTATCAGAGCCTCTGCGTGATTATATCTCATTGATTAGTGTGATTAAAGAGCTGTTCCATCAAAGAGTTAAAGTATATCAAACATGGCAACATGCTCAACAAATGCTCAATAAGAAACGTCAAGCTAAAGCCCATCACGACCTCGCCGGTAAACCAAATAGTCAAGATCAAGAAGAAATAGTTGAGGTAAAAATTGAAAAAATTGAGAAATTAAAATTCAGTATCATTAATACTCTTGTTTTTTATGTTTACAGTGGGAAGCTAAAGTTGAACGCGGACAACAGGAGTTCGACCAAATTTCTGGTAACATTAAAAGCGAGGTCGAAAAATTTGAATTTGATCGCGTTAAAGATTTCAAGTCAACCTTTATAAAATACATGGAATCCCTACTGGAAGATCAACAACAGTTAATCAAATATTGGGAAGCTTTCCTTCCCGAGGCAAAGGCAATTGCATAGAGAACACCTATTATATCAAAAATGATCGTATAATTTAATATATTAATTGGACATTGAAAGAAATAAAGGTAAAAATGTGAAAATGTGAAAGCTTTAAAATTGGGTTTATCATTGGAGATGAAACTACGGCGCACTTATTACTTCTCAACAACTATTTGCACAAGCAGATAAATCAGTTTATACTAATTTAAGATTAATCTTTAAATGTATTTATACGGTATTGAAAATAAAGTTTTACCAGACAGTTAACTATTTTACCCTTTAACAACTTGCAGCCAAATTATTATCGCTAGATCATTATTTGAATCGCCTATTAACCATCCTCAGACAGACAAAACAATAAAAGCTAAAGGTGCTACCCGAGTTTGACAATCAACTAATAAACCTGATTGATATATATTTTAAACTACAAATTATTCTAATTATCTATTTTTTATTCCAGATTTCGTTTGCAAAATCAACTTGAAATGCTGATTCAAAATAGGATTTTTTCACTATATTTTCTTACGCCTTTTGGATCTTATGAATCCTTGAATCTATTCATCTACCTGTCTCTTAAATCTCCTCACTGTCATTTCCCTGTAGATTTGAAACAACGTAATCTGTGTTTTACTATTACTATTAGTATTATTGTTTATTCACCAGAAAATTGATCTGGTTTTAAACAATTTCATTGAGAATTTGATGTTACTTCGACTAATCTAACGTTCCATTTGGTTGGTTTGCTGGATAATCAAATCCTATCCTTATTTTGAGTTGCATTCACTTCCATTCCATCTAATCTGATTTTCTATGAATTGTTTCTCCTCAGCCTGGAACTTCTTTTGTTTGTTGTTTTATTCAAAATTTTATTGTGATACTGAATGATTGATAAATCAAGTCAATGATAAGGTAGCAGTTAGTTGTTTATCCCTAATGGTGATTATTAGGTTAGGTGAATATTTTTGATGATTAATAATCAATTCTTTTTATTATTTATAATAAATTTTCTTTCTTAATTTCATTAATGCATTGTTATATTCAATACACTTCATGGTTATACTATCAGTGTCAAGCAATGTATTTTGGTGAATAATAATCAATCTTTTTATGCTCAATTTAATACATTTTATTTCTTAATTTCATGACAACACAACAACTAGTTCAAAGTCTAGTTCAAAGGTTTCTAATTTAACGGGTATTGGAATTATTGGGTCAAGATATTAGATAAACGAATTCATATTTTTAATTTGAACTTAATCATGTTTGATTTTAATGGTAGTTGCGCCACAGATAAGCTCATTGCTTCCATCAGAGTTGTAAACTTGGAATCGGATTTGGGTTAACATCTAAACAAAGAAGAAAGAAAGGTTAATCAAAGATATTACCGGAGGGGCACCTTGGACAAACTTTGAGTTAACTTACTGGTGGTGGCCATGCAAAGGTTTTCAAACTAAGGGCGAATGAAGTGGCAACATTAGCTTCAATAGGACAGTCGGTGTATTTACATGCATCAGTATCAACATTAGGATAATCAACCCAAGAATCATCCGAGTCCTTAACTTGAGTTCTTAAAATTGGACTGGATATAGCAACATCTAATGAGTTAATAATGTAATCATTGATAGGTTAATGTTCATATTTAAGAATATATTAGATATTGTTAGATTGAATATTACTCACCGCTAATGAGTTGACCATTAATGTTAACTATCTCATCTGGTTTGAAGGTGCATGGGTCAGAGTTACAAGGGACTACATTAACCCATAAGATGGTTCCTTCTTGTCCTGTTGATAGGAAAGAAATACATGAAATCAATTGAATTGAAGAAATAAATTATCTGGTCAACACTAATAAAGTAAATAAACTTACCACAATTGGTGAAGGAAGTGTTTTTTGCTTGAACATAAGCAATGAACAAAGCAAAGATGGCGATGGTTCGGATCATGTTTGATATTAGATTGAAGCTTGAAAAGATGATCAATTTTGAACGGTTTCAATGTCTGTGTCAATCGACACAATGAGATCTCTTTTATAAGGCCAACAGTACCATTGTGATCTTGATGTTGTAACTGTTTGGATTCCCCGTGTTCAACTTATTTCTCAATTGATCGTGTTTACCTCGTTCTTAATAAAACTATTAAATTGAAATTGTTCTGATTATTATGATTTACAACGCTATTCAGCATTTATTTTTATTGCTCTACTATTTTCATGGTCATAATATACTGCTTGCGAGAGAGGAATAACGATTTATATATATTACTGAGTCTTTCAAGTCTGAGTATCTGAGTGATTTAAGATTAGAAATTTTCAAATTGAATAAAATTTGATTGTTGACTGGAAACGATTTCAACCGAAAAGAGTTGATCAAATTGATATGAGCAATCAGTCGCTTGAAATCCAATCAGTTATTAGACAATATTTATTACTCGTGTCGAGGCCGATATTTTGATGAAACACTTATTTATTCAAAGCGCCACCTTCTACAGTTTCATTATACTTACAACTTTTTCATGAAAGTGATCTTAATTTGAAGCGGTGACCATTGATTTGTAACATTGTACATGTAATGAGCAAAGATGAATATTTCTGTCGATTCACTATGCATCTTTATCTATTTATTTACAATTGTGGCCAAACTGAGCAGATTCTATTAGAAATTTTTACACATCGTGAATGCTATGATTGGACTACATCCAGATGAAAAACAGGAAGTCTCACCTCAGTTCAAATCTCTGAGAAATTCACGTAGATATCGATGAGGGAAAAGTTCAGAATCCGTATTTTAAACTATTGAGTTTTGGTCAAAAGCTCTTATTGGTATTCAGGTTGATAGTTTACGGTTGAGTTAAGAGTGCAGGTAAAACTTTGTCTTCCAAGTAAACAGTTCTGGGGAATATGGTGCCTCAGATGAGCGAAAGAAGAAGAAGATTTTCTCAAAGAGTATCGATGTATTTTTTTATTGAACAGATGGACTCAACTTTACACACCTACAACCAACAAAGCATCACTTGTTTCTATTAAAACATATTTTTACATTTTTTATTTTATTGCAACTCTCGCTTGTTTTGACAAAAAATACGAGTTTCTGCAATATTGCAGGGAAAATATCGCCAGAAATATAAGAATACGCAGAGACAACCTGTAAATTGTCATCTCTAGTAGACAGAGGCCAAAAGAATAGTAAAAGCCTGAGCTAGATGCATGAAGTATTCTGAGAATCAATGCTGGTTTTGATGAATTTGCTTATTTTCTGAAAAATGTTTGATTCGAGTTATTGAGCAACCAAATATGCAACTTCACTTTAAGCACTAACGCAACTGAACTATTAGAGCAATGAATCTTCAATGAAGTTTCGTCCTTTACAAGGTTCTCCATATGCACAATGATGCTGAAAGATCAAATGGCTCAATCTGATCAGTTAGTATCAAAAACTTGGATTTGCGAACTGTCTAAATGATCCATTAAGGGAATCTGAAAATAATATCTGTAAATATGTAAATAGGAAGTCACAATACAAAACTTTTCATGATTCGTCCAAATTAAACTTCACCGAGTCCTCCTGTAACAAGTTTTAGCGATAGCTTGATTTGAAGGTTGCGAATAAAATGAGAAACGAAGATTGCAGCCAATAATTAACAAATTTATTTATTAAGATAACATAATGAAAAGACGAATTCACAGAATTCTCGATTGAAGTTACATTTCAGTAACTACTCTACTCTAACAGTAGTTTCACCACAGTTGAGTTCTGATCCATCAGAGTCAAGAAGTTGGAATCGGATTTGTGTTTCAAGCTGAATAGAGAAAAGGAAAAGTCGATTAGAAATGTTCTCAAGAAAATGAATTGGATGTCATGAGCTATTCAACTTACTGGAAGAGGCAAAGAAAGTACTTTTAAACTAAGGGCAAATGGAGTATCAACATCGGCCTCAAGTGGACAACTGAGGTAGTCGCATGCATCCGACGAAACACCGGGATAGTTGAAATAAATGCCAGCTACTTTAACTGTAACTTTCAACTGGGGACTATTTGAGGCTGCAGCTAATCAGGTCATAAAGGAATCATTAATCAAACGTTCATCACAAAAATTATTACAAAAATACTTACGACTAACTAATACACCATTAAGGTGCACTTCTTGTCCTGATGTGAAGGTGCATGGGTCTGAATCACAAGGCTCGACATTGACGAATTTGATAACACCCTTTTCCGCTGTTGATTGAAATAAATACAATAAATTAATGACATTAAACGAGTGAAACTGACACAGCAAAAGTAAATCAACTTACAGCAGTTTGTAAAGGTGGTATTTCTTGCTTGAACATAAGCGATGAACAAAGTTAAGGCGATGATGTTTCGGATCATTTTGATTTTGTTTAAGATTGAAACTCTAATAATGTTGAGTAGAGATGATCAATGGTAAAGTGAATTAAATGTCTCCATTGAACTTAGTTTTTATAAGATGATCACAATTGTCATCTTGATTGTTTATTTGCGTAAATTGACTTTGTCCAGCCCATTCCTGGTTCAAATATAATAAAATAAACTGTTGCAATTATCATATCTTACAGCGTACTTTGATGTTATTATTTTTATTGTCTTCCTATCTTCGTAATTGTAACATCTTCACTTCAAAACAACTGTAATAGCGTTCATTAAATGCTGCAATTTTGCATAATCTCAAAGGGTTTATTTGATAGATTTGCAAGTCCAAATTAAATATCATTTGTATATTAACTGTTGACTGGAAACGACTTCAACTCGTATTATTGCTGCTAATATCAGTCGCTTCAACTCCAATCAATAATTTGATTCAACATTTATTGCTCTGGCTTATTCCGATACTCTTTTCATTTCATCTCAACTCAATGAATTTCAAGATGAAAATGATAAGCTTATCCTTGAAACCATTAAATTAGCTGGATTAAATTGATTACTTATAAGACTAAAGAACCTATTTGTATCCACACACTGGATATGTTGTTAGCAATGGCAATACTGCGTCAAGGTGTCCAAATTATTCTCTCAAAATGCAATTAAACCTGTTGTGAACCTTTGTGATCACAAAGAAATCTCAATAAACTCTTTGAATGATTTTAGCTGAGTCAAGAGGCTGAAATCCGAACAGATTGAAGTAATAGAATCCGCTTGTAAAACCTATCCAATCTACTAACTTAAAAGGCTGGATCGACAGCAAAACTTAGGCAATTTTCAAAATGCACTTTCTAGCATTTCATTGAGCCATCAGTATCCCACTGCCAAATACTAAATGAACAATTATCTTCTATCTATCTGCCTAACATATAATTCGTACTCATAAGTGATTCGCTCTGAGAATCTACTCATTGGAACTGTAAAACTCTAACGTCCAGCTAATGTCTCTAACTTTTCGTGCAATATGTTTGCTTCCATTTTATTCAAATTTTAAGTCCACGCAGACTTATTGTAATGAGCTGACCAATGACCAAGACAAAGTGCATACAAAAAGCAAACACAATGAATGTTATTCTCATCTTTACAAGAGTAACTTTCATGATTGAAGTTGAAGAGATTAAAGAAGATGCTTGAAGGGCCAAAGGTTTTACAAGAAGTGTTTTTTAAGAATTAAGTAAAAGTAAAGTCCTTTTTGTTTCTTGAAGCGCACGAAAACACTGAATGAATCTCGTCTTGCACTTCTAAGTTTCACGTCTCTCAATGTTTTTTGGTGTATTTCTATCACCTTTGCTATTCTATGTAACAATTGCATTCCTTAATTTCATGATGGCATAAACATATTAATTTTGTATTTACTGGTTTTGAAGTAAATGAACGAAGTAAACAACGATTGCAATTAATAATCAATAAGTTTATTAGGAAAAAATTGGAAACTTGAATTCATAAAATGATCTATTTAAGCTTTAGTTACGCCAATAGTGGTTTTACCGCAAATGAGTTCAGTGGTTCCATCATCACCGATGGCTCGGAATCGCATTTCAGTTTCAAACTAAACAGAAGAAGAGGGAAAAGCAATTAATATCATGATCAAATTCGAGGTATTCTGATAGTGGACTTACTGATCTGGGCCAATCAAAGACTTCTGTGTTGAGAGCGAATCGATAGGGAACATTAGCTTCAATGGGACAGTTGGTGTATTCACAAGCATCGTTATGAACATCAGCATAAGCGATCCAATCGTCACCCATTTTGAGCTCAGACTTTAAGGTTGGTTTAGATGCACTCAAAGCTAGTTAGAAATGGAATCATCCATTGATTAAATCTGAGAAGATACTATTCTGTTCTGATTAACAGGTTGTATTTTACTTACTACTGACAAATTCGCCATTCAAATGGACTTCTTCTCCTGTTTTAAAGTTGCATGGCTCAGTTTCACAAGGAATGATGTTAACGAAGTTGATTTTTCCGTTTGGTGCTGTTGATAGGAAAGAAATACAAGAAATTAGTTATATTCGGATAAATTTACATGTTCAACACTTACAGCAATTGGTAAAGGATACATTTCGAGCCTGGGCATAGGCAAGGAATAAAGCGAAGACGGCGATGGTTCGGATCATTTTTGATTTTTGATGTTGGATTGAAACTTGAATAAAGTTAAGTGATCAATGTTGAACTGGTTCAGTGTCTGTGTCAATCGAAAAACTGAGTCTCCTTTTATACGGCCAACAGTACTTCTGTGATCTTGATTGTGTGATTACATGGATTCACTGTGTTAACTGATTCTCAATAAAACTATTAAATTGAAATGTTCATCATTTCCATGTTCAATCCATCTCTCAATTAAACTAATAAATACTATCATGAGTTACGTAATTATAACAATTTCATTCATTAGAAACTGCAATAGCGTTGAATGTTGCAATTTTGCATAATCTCAATAGTCTGTATTGAATAGATTTGGAGGTCAAAATCAAATATCATTTGTATTTTAACTGTAGACTGGAAACGACTTCAACTCATATTATTGCTGCTAATATCAGTCGCTTCAACTCCAATCAATAATTTTGCAATATTTATTGCTCTGGTTTAACCCGATGCTCTGATCAGATACTTTTTATTTCATCTCAATGAATTTCAAGATGCAAATGATAAGCTTATCCTTGAAATTGTTGAATTAGCTGACGAGAGAATCGTCAAAAATGGTGAATCGATATCGATATTTCAATAGTTTCTATCGGTACATTAGGCATTGTTTAAGACTAGTATAATGGAAGTAGCTGCCACCTTTTTGACTTCGGCATTTTTCACCTTTTTTCTAGAAAAATTTGTGTTTTTCTGCTGTGATTTGTAAGCTCATTTTTTCATTTTTAAGACGTTGAAACAGCAACATATTTTTATTGCAAAATAAGATCATTCATTGGATGCATCTAGTAAAACGAATGCAAATCCCATAGAAGAGCATGTTGACTATTTAAATCTCGAGATCAATTCACCAGTTGTGATGGATCCCTCGTTAGTACTAACTCTTATAAGAATAAAGTTCCATTTAGTATCTACAGTCTAAAAGTCTGAGAACAGTACAAGCCACTCTTCATAGAACACTCATGTTTAATGAGCATCATTGGTCATCCATTGGTCTATGTGCACCAATAGACAATAAATGGAGTTTTTCGTCTTCATTTGCGAATCACACTGATCATTGAAATCGTTTCAGAGTTATTTGAACAATTCCCTTCTTGTTAGATGCAGACCAAAGATTAATGCTATTAATTAATGTTGACTAATTGAACTTTTATTTACCAATTTACGATGCCATAAATAATCAATAAAGGGTCAAATAAACTTCAAGACATTATTAAATTGCATATTTCACTTTAAAAATCTCATGATCTCTGATTTCTCACCATAACATGGTTAATCTTGAATCATTTGTTCTGAGATTCTATTTGCTTAAACTGTTAAAATTCAATGTCCAGTTAAATCAAATTCCGCCTCTGATTGTATGATCCTCTTGGTTTTATATAAACCGCACGAAATTTTATCATTAAATAGCGTCTAGCATTAAAAATCTGAATATGACTTTCGTTTCTGTTAATTTAATGTTTTTATAATCATTTTTGTTATTTTATGCAACTTTCATTGCTGAAATAAAGTTTCAAAGTTTAATAATTAGTTAATTTCAAATAAAATTGAGAAACAATGATTGCAATTAATAGTCGATTAGTTTATTAGGAAATCATCAAAAAATTGAATTCAAGAAATGTTCTATTTATGCTTTAACTACAACGATAGCGTTTGAACCACAGATAAGCTCAGTTTTTCCATCATCGGCGAACAAACGGAATCGCATTTCAGTGGCAAACTAAACAGAGAAACAAGAAAAGGAAATTAAAATTATGATCAAATACAAATTGTGATATTCTTAGATGATTAACTTACTGATTCAGGCCAATCAATAACATTTGTATCAAGAACGTATGGATAGGCAACATTAGCTTCGATGGGACAGCTGGTGTATTTGCAAGCATCGGACTCAACCTCAGGATACTCAACCCATTCACCATCAACTTTGATCTCAGCCTTTAAAGTGGGTTTGGATGCAGCAATGCCTAATGAGTTCAATATGGAATCATTGATTAAATGTTTTCTATGAGAAACTTTTCTGGTTAAAAATTGATTTCAAACTTACTGGTTTTGTATTGACCATTTAGATGGACCTCATCTCCAGTTTTAAAGGTGCATGGTTCAGCTTCACAAGGAATGACATTGACGAAGTTGATTTTTCCGTTTGGTGCTGTTGATAGGAAAGAAACACAAGAAATCATTTTGTATTGAATTATTAGGTTTACACTAAAAAGTAAATTAACTTACAGCAGTTGCTAAAGGTTATGTTTCGAGCTTGAGCATAGGCAAGGAATAAAGCGACGATGGCAATTGTTCGGATCATTTTTGATTTTTGATGTTAGTTTGAAACTTGAGAAAAGTTAAGTAATCAATGTTGAACTGATTCAGTGTCTGTGTCAATCGAAAAAATGATTCCTCTTTTATACGGTTAAGAGTACTCTTGTGATCTTGATTGTGTGATTGCGTAGATTCACCGTGTTTAGCTCGTACTCATGTAAACTAATTAATACAAGCTATCATGAATTACGGCGCATTTTGATATTAATTTTTATTGCTCACTATTCTATTAATTGTATCATCAAAGTATTGATCAACATTTATGATGTCATGTCGCAATTCCCCATAATCAGAATATCTGAATGGTTATAGCATTAGACATTCTATATCGAATGATATTCGTTGGATCGTCTGTTGTCTAGAAACGATTGCGTAAAAATGGCCTTGTCCTTGTGCCTAAATTGCAATCATTTATTAGTCTGGTTCAATATTGATTGATATGAACATCTAAGATTACCAAGTTTAGACTTCGATCATAGACATTATTCTGATTGCATCCATTCAAGATTTGCACAATAATCGACTCAATTTCAATCAAGTTAAAGTTTTCCTGCTTTGCAATTCTTTCTTTTAGAACCCGCTCAGTTTGGCTACAATTTTGACTTTATTACATGTCTTAACATATACTGCATATCACCACGAAAAGCGGTCTTCTAATAAAGCTAGAAGTGGCTTTAAGAGAGAAATGACATGACGGAATTTTTTAGATCTTATTATTGATTCAGCTTAGAGTTTATGACTTTTTACAATAACAGTTAGAAGAATTTTAATTTGCAAATTTTACAGAAATCTATTCAGACTACACCAGAAAGAAAGATATTTTGTGGCCGGGGAAAGACGTTACAGCAGAGTTCATGGCTCAACATTGAGTCTAAACCAGTCTTTCAGTTTGTTACTATTAAAATTACTAATAAATTTCTCTCAAATAAAAACTGAGTCCATTACGCTATTCATAAATTTCTATGACCAATAGTTCTCGAGAAAATCGAGTTCGAAATTGAAACTTCGATTGCCTTTTGTCCAATTGTAGAAGCAGATTTTTCTATGGAACTCATTTTACTGATGTTACTTTTGATGTTAAATCAGAAAATACCCTTACTTTGGCGCATAAAACTTTCCTTTTTCTGTAAGTCAGATTAGTTCGACTTTCAGTTATAACGACCATTTTCTATCACCTTAAGAGTTAGAGCGCTGAAACTTATTGCTCGTCCATAAAAAGTGCTGATGGACATCATGGATGGAATTTTTTATTCCATTTTTCAACAGTTCTCTTGATTTTGGCCATCGGTCTTTAAACTTTGAGACTCAATATTTCGAGAATGGCATCACCTACAATCGCCATTCTTGCACCAATTCGATTCTTAGCTAATTATTAATTCAATTCAAGTCAATCCCTTTCCATTAAACCATTTGGGTCATGATATTCGGGTTTTAAATGCGTAAGCAACAACTTATTAAACAAAACAAACTCATATTAACCCATATCTTGGTATACAAACCAATTTTCTGGTTAAAGCTGCGAATGTAATGCAAAAAATGCTGCAAAAGGCTCGAACATTTGAATTGTGAGTCTAGACTTGGTGGGTTTGTAAGCACATAAAAACTGAGTTCATTGGTACTATCAAATCATTCATTCGATGGAAAGATTTCGTGAAAATCGAGGTCAAAGTTGTAACTTCGATCGCCTTTTGTTCAGCTATGGAAGCAGATTTTTTCTTGAAACTCATTATTCTAATGTAACTTTTGATGACAAATCAGAAAATGTACTTATTTCGAGAAATAACATTTTCTTTTCAAAATAAAACAGATAAGTTCGATTTCTAGTTAAACCGACCGCTTATTACGAATGTAAGAGCTAGAGAGCTGAAACTTATTATTTGGCTCTAAAAATTGTTGGTACACATAAAGGACAGAACGATTTTTTCAATTAATCATTAGTTCTCTGGATTCTGGCCATTGTTCTTAAAACTTTGAGCCTCAATATTTCGGGAAAGATACCATTTACAATCATCATTTTTGACTAAACATTAGATTTTATTACGAGCTATAACACAATGTGACTAAAAACCGAAGAAATTTGAGCCAATTCATTCAATCATTAATATTATTCTAACACATCATAAGCAACCATTTACCTTTGTTAATCAATTATCAAACTCACAGCCAAGTATTAATAACCTAATAATACAATGCTATAACTATTTCTTTGGTTTCTTGAATTGGTTAAAATTTAAAATTGCATATCCCATAATAACATCTAGTGTTTGGCGAAAGAATAATGATTGTTGGTGCTATCAATATCGAAATATTGAGGCTCAAAATTTCGAGAACAATGGCTAAAATCGAGCGAACTGTTGATTTATTTAAAAAAGTATTCAATCCGTGATGTTTAACAACAATTTTTATGGACAGATAATAAGTTTCAGCTCTCTAAATTTTATGGCCACAAAAAGCATTCGGTTTAACTGAAAATCGAAGTAATCTGTTTTATTTTGTACAGAAAATTTTATTTCTCAACATAAGTACATTTTCTAGTTGATCATCAAAAGTTAAATCAGTAAAATGAGTTTCATGAAAAAATCTTGTACCATAATTGAACAAAAGGTGATCGAAGTTTCAGTTTTGACCTCGATTTTCTCGAAAACTAACGATCAGAGAAATCTGCAAATCGTTTAAATAGGTTCAGTTTTTATGTCCCTACAAACCAACAGAGGCTGAATTTGAAATAAATCAAATTTTTGGATGTTTTTGCCCATTTGTGCCAATTTCAGCCAATTTATGCATAAATGTGATGATTGTGGCTTTTTTTAGGGGCAACCAGCATTTCGTTGTGAATAATTGGTCTTTACGATCCGAAACAACTGGAATGAGATCATTTTAAATCAATATACCACTTCCTGTATGCATTGAATATCTGTATGCGCGAAAAATCATGAAGTAGCAACCAGTTACCATGAATCTAGCAATGCTAGATTTAAAATCTTCTGATTCAACTCAAAAAAATTGTCGTCATGTTGATTGTGAACACGGAACAGAAATTGAACTTGTCTCTCGAGTCTTCCACTCGGAAAGGCTGCCATTTAATAGCCTAAGGTGAATTAGTGAGGTTGACTTGAGATCGAGTCCTTGATTGAAAATCAACCTGAATTAAACAATCGACTGCCACTAATATGTTCAAAGGGAATTTAAATGACAATAAAATCTATCATTTTAATTCATTATTTAATCTTAGGTGACTAACTTCAAGCGTTTCCGTTGTGCATAATTTGCGAGTAAATGCACTAATAATTGTTTAATGGCCTGAACGTCTGTTCGATACATTTGTTTTTCATCGGATAGATGGCGACTTTGACGTCCATAATGACATTATGTTTAAATTAGTTTCCACAAACAGTATTTGCAATCAATAATCAACAAATATATTTATTGAACAGCATATTGAAAAAATAATTTTTACAACAAAATAATTCTTCATTTAAGCTATTTTAATATCAGCTTGAGCGCAGTTGTATTGGGATCCATCAGAGCCTTTAAGCTGGAATCGAATCTCAGTGCTCATCTGAATAGCAAAGGAAGAAAAGTCAATTAGAAATATTATCAAGCAAATTAATCGTATAATTAAAGATGATAAACTCACGGGTGGAAGCCAAGCAAGAGTTGTCAAGCTAATCTTGAATGGAGTAACAACATTGGCTTTAAGAGGACAAGTGAGATATTTGCAAGCATCAGAGTCAAGACCAGGGTAAGTTACCCAAACGCCAACAACTTTAACTTCAACAATCAATGTTGGACCAGCTGAGCCAGTTTCTGGTAAGTTTACAAAGGAAACATTAATTAATCCAAGATTCTCATTAGAGAATTGATTTCCTTCATTCTCTTCGTTTCAATATTACTTACCACTAACTAATTCGCCTTCAACAGTAACTAGTTCTCCTGGCTGGAAGGTGCATGGTTCAGCGTCACAAGGGTCGACGGTAACCCAGTTAATTTTTCCAGTTGGTGCTGTTGATTAAAACAAATACAAGGAATCATTTTATTGAACAAGTAAAATTATTACACTGAAAAAAGTAAATCAACTTACAGCAGTTGGTGAAGCTAATATTTCTAGCTTGAGTACAAGCAACAAACAAAGCAAGAATAGCAATGGTTCGGATCATTTTGATTCAGTAAAGTTGAAACTCTAAAAATGATGAATTATAGTTAAGGCAAACTAATTAGCTTCTGTGTCAATCGAAAAAATAGCCTTGTTTTATATAATTTTAATACTACGATTGTGATCTTGATTTTTCGATAGCTAGATTCCCCATGTTCAACCTATTCTAAATAAAACTATTCAATTATCGTGAAAAATTGTTATTTTCATTGTTTTCTATTTTGATAATTGTATCATTGTTAAAAAAGAGGAGTAAAAATTAACTTGGCTGATTATCATTATTGCAGTTCGTATTATCTGCATTTCTGGATTCCTGAAAGGTTGACAATTTTAAATCAAAAACCATTTTGTTCATCATTCGCCTCAACTACAACCAATCTATTCGTTGAACCTTAGCTTGAAAAGCTTAGTGCGACATTACTGGGAAAATTAAGTTTATTATAACCGTATTTATCAGTTTTGTGATCAATAGCAAAATAATAATTCATTTTCCAATATTAATCTCAATAGAAATGCCAGATTTAGATCTCTATACTAATCAGTTGTCAAGTAATCGTCATTTACAGACCATTATTACTGGGAAAGGAGAAAAAAATCAATATTTAAATTGTTTAAGTATTTTCGATTCTTTCGCGCTAAACTTTGCAAAAAATTAGCAGTTAATTAACTAATTAATAGCTCTATTCTAAATTGTTACTCTGTTTGATTTGATGAAGATTCCTGATATAATTAGATTACACTGAAGGTTTCAGTTAATCTCCAGAAATTGATCTGAATTTAAAAGTGGTGAAGATTGAAAAATATTGTGAGATATTTTTTCCGTATCAATCAAAATCAGAAATCAAGATGGAAATGAAATTACTGCACTTGAAACTAGATTAACTTGAGGAATAAGATGATAGTATCTATTAAGTATCTAATAGTAAGTAACTATCAGATCAGTATCAAGTGTCTGGCAAATAAAATCAAGTATCTATTAAACAAATGTGCAACCAGTAATATCATTAGTGTAATTATAAAGAAACCTTTTAAGAGTATTATTATTCCATTTTTACCACCAATCATGTCTTGGGTCCAGATTCCTCAAAATAGCCATTTTACAATTGATAATTTGCCATATGGAGTATTTTCAACTGCAACTAATGTAAGTAATGGTTTATAATTTCTCTCAATCATGATCAAATTGATAATATAGCCAGTAGTTCATGATTTTACTTCTTCTTTTTCTTCTCAGCCAGCTCATCGGATCGGAGTTGCCATTGGTGACTTTATTCTCGATCTTAAAGCAATACATCATCTTTTCAATGATCCAAAACTGTTAAAATCAGGTGAACATGTTTTAACGAAACCAATTTTAAACGATTTTATGAGTTTAACTCCATCTGAATGGCATAATGTGAGAATCAAGGTTCAAAACCTGTTGAATGGAAATGATAAAACATTAGAGAATAATGAAAAGCTTCGTAAAGAGGCATTGGTTGCCCAAAGAGAGGCAACGATGCACTTACCCGCAAATATTGGTGATTATACAGATTTTTATTCCTCAATTCACCATGCAACCAATGTCGGAATCATGTTCCGAGGAAAAGAAAATGCTTTAATAGCAAATTGGCGTCATATTCCAGTTGGTTATCATGGAAGAGCATCTTCAGTGGTTGTATCAGGCACACCGATTAGGCGTCCAAACGGTCAAACAAAGGACGATAATGCTACAAACCCATCATTTGGTCCATGTCGTTTACTTGATTTTGAATTAGAGATGGCCTTTTTTGTTGGCGGTGAAGGCAATCAACTTGGTCAACCAATTCCAATCGCAAAAGCCGAGGATAATATTTTTGGTATGGTTTTGATGAATGATTGGTCTGCTCGGGACATTCAAAAATGGGAATATGTTCCTCTCGGACCATTTTTAGCTAAAAATTTTGGTACAACAATAAGTCCATGGATCGTTACAATGGAAGCTCTTAAACCCTTCAGAACTACACCTTTTAAGCAAGATCCAGAACCACTTGACTATCTCAAAGATAAAAATGATTTCAGTCTGGATATAAATCTAACAGTTGATTTGAAGCCAGCAAATGGCCAGCCAACAACAATTACTAAAACCAACTTTAACTATATGTACTGGACCATCAAACAGCAATTAGCTCATCATACTATAACTGGTTGTAATGTCAGACCTGGTGATCTTCTTGCTTCAGGAACCATAAGTGGTCCAGAGCCAGAATCTTTTGGGTCGATGCTTGAATTGACATGGCGAGGAACTAAACCTTTAACCTTGGCTGATGGAAGTCAAAGAAAATTTATCCAAGATGGAGATGAGGTCATTTTGAGCGGATTTTGTGAGAAAGAAGGTGTCAGAATCGGTTTCGGAGAATGTCGTGGCGTTGTTTTACCATCGCTATCTATTTGAGGAAGAGATTATCAAAAAGGGTAGATTAATGGAAACTGTTGAAATATTTTTGCTATATCACCATTCATTTATCAATAGTTAGATGAAAACCAGGAAACAAGCCAATTTTTTTAAATCCATAGTAAATCGAAACAATGCTTCAAGGGAATAATAAACTCGCAGGAAACCCAATTTGCTCGTAAAAATGTGTTTATCTTTATCCAGAGTTGATAAAGGCACTGATTCAATAAAGTTGATTATTTAATAAATACAGTCAAGTAAATGATTGAAATTAAATTACATGTGTAACTTAAGAACGGAGTGATTACTCTTTTTATTGCCATAAGATGGCAGCATCTTGACAGCATATGTTTTCAGTTAATATTTTTGCTTCAAGTTCAAACTGAACCTTAAACTGTATTAATTAGTTAACTTAAACATATTTAAGCATCATTATCGTTTGAAATTTTTCAGCGACAGAGTTTGATGTCTGCTCCAACCCATCCATCTCCGGTATGGTTAAACGGAACAAATATCCTCTGAGAAAATGTCAATCCATCATAACTGGAAATGAATTGAGGAAATTCATCTCGTGTCCTGTTTAATACTATCAGAACTCTTAAGGCAACCATTCAGTTCGCTAAAGTTGGTTTAATATTCCTCAAGTTGACCCCAGAACGATTAAAACAATTGGGCCAGTTAATCCAATTACTCTCGAACTGTTGACTCCCATGAGACTCGTTACCTGCGTTTAGTTTCAAAGCTTAGCCATTTAGCGCTATTTTTAGGCCCATTTCTTTTGAAATGGTTGAGACCGAGTTTAGCAAAGAAAACAGAAGACGAAAGACAAAAGAAAGATTATCTTAAGATGTTAAAGCATTTAAGTTGACAATAATTGATATGATCATTGATCAATGTTGATCATCAACACCGTTTCCCATGAGTATAATCACCACAAAAAAGGCAAGAAATGAAACATTAATATTCTCAATGAGCCAAAACAGTTTTGTGACGATAAAGCGTTTTGTAAATAATCAGTTCGCTAATGAAACTATTAATAAATGTAATTGGTGCCAGTTTTTTATATCTAAAATGAAGTGTTTATTATTTTTATTTATATTGCGATGCAACAAAATTGTCAGCCAAATTCAAACTTGCCAAACTGTAAAAGTCACTGTTAAAGTAAAGTTGATTGTTTAAACAATTTAAACTTGTTAGTATCTCAAGTTATAATTTAAGGTTACTAGTTTTTCAATTGAAAACAGTGAAGTGACAAGTAATTGTATTGAACAGATTTGTGTCAACCTTTACAAGATTATCTTAAACTCTGTTGGGTGTTTTGTTGTTATTATTTTTACCTTAATCTCTTGGTTTCTTTAGTTTTGGCGCATTTTCAATCCATTCATTAAAATTACTATTTTGCATTTCACTTTGTTTTGACTATTCAAACTAGCCATTTCATTTACCAAAGGATTTGCTTGTAAACAATAAAATGTGTAATTATGGACAACAACAAAGGTCCAAACAAAGGCAAAGGCTAACTTGCTGTCGATTCATTTGGAATTATCGCCACCATTCTAATGTTAATTTTCAATTTAAGTTAATCTTACAAATAGATTGGAAATACTTCAAGTCAGGAAAATGATTAAAAGAGTTAAACGTTTGCGACTTCAATCTTTGACAAAAGCAAATAACAGAAAAAGAGTTTTCTCTGTTGTTCTCTCTTCTAAATTCCAGGTTTCAATTTCACCTAATATCTTTACCTTTTAACTCTCTAATCATTTCATCTTTATCCTCTTGACTTGAGCCCTTAGAATTGAAATCGATAGCTCGGCTCAAGATGAAAGCAACAAAAGATGTGTCATTTTAATTGTTGAAGCTCACAATCACCAAGCGACCCATTGATTTCCTCTTGATCCTGGAATTGAATGAGTTAAGAAAGCGAGAGCCTTTAGAAAATGAAATAGCTCGCTATGAATTCTCGTGACCATCCATATTTAACTATAAACTGGATGAAGCGTAGCAGCATTATTCAACAGGAAACCAATCTAATTAAACAGTAAAAATAAAACAATATATGATTAGTATAAACATCAAAATTAAATCATGAGAAAGGTAAACAAGCCACAAAAAAGCAAAAACCAATAAATATCTTCATCTAAATCATATTGATGATGGTCAAGGTTGCTACGCAAAGTCAACTCTAACTTTAAAATGAAACAAGCAATTAACTGTGAGAGTAAAAACAATTACAATTGTTTCGTTAACATTGATCATTCCTATTTATAAAAGAAGCTGAATTTTTTATTCCCGTGAATCAATTGATCCAAAAAAATTTGAGCCAGTTCAACTGATTGATAAACCTAAGTAATAGAAACATAAAGATTGAATGCAAGCTGTAATGGAGTTTAAAGCATTGAGAATAGGTGAAGTTTCAAATTAATGGGCAATTTGTTCGAATTTAGAATCAATACTCGGAAATAGCACAATTATAGCTAAATGAAGTTGAAGACAATTTAATAATCAACCGCCAATAGTCATAAAATGCAAGTAACCTTCACTGCTAAACTGTTTTACGATTAAAATATGGGATAAAAGGTATACAAACTGCAAGTTAACGATAGATTAACATTGTACAGCAATAAATAGAAGATATTGAAGAGAGAAAAAGGTTTATTACGATTCCTTATACCAAAAACCAATTAGAGATTACAATTGGTCTATCTAGCCTAAGAAATCAACTGAGTCAACTAATTCAGTGAAACAACAATTAAGAACCTTACCCAAGAAGGTAACAAGGTTGTTAATATGACCATTATTAAACTGTTACTTCAACTGTATGGCGATAATAAAAAGGTCAAGGTGTAAGAGTTTAAGGGTTAAAAGTAAAACCATGTTCATCTCTCCATTATCCTCTTTATGTTTATCCACTCTCTGGAAGACTTTTGCTCTTCACCCGTGTTAATGATATCAAGTTAATTGTTCCAGTTTATTGTCCAACTTTGATGATAATGATAATTGTAATAAAAACAATCAAAAAAAGAGAAAGAAAAAGGTTAAAGTTAGGTTGGTCAAGGTAAATTTAAGGTTAATCAACAATGATTGACAATGGAAACTAAATTTCTCAAAGTAAAAGGTTGCGAAGCAATAAAAAAAGCCTGTAAAATAGGCAGCAAAAAGAGAAGCAAAAAGAGTGAAAGAGACAGACAAAAGTGAACCAATACAGTTGACTAACTAATAGTTTCAAGGAAAACGATTTTTACTGAAAATTCTTCCTACCTTTTTGTAAATTAACGACGGTAATGAATAAAAGTCATAAAGGTAAAGGTGAAAATTGAGATGCTTTCCTTGAAAAAAACGTGTTAAAATAGTCGGAATAATGTCTCCAAGACTTTCAATGTTAAAACAGCAACATATAAACACTTTAACCCAAAACTCAATTGCTCCAATTAATCCACCATTTAACAACAATCTGTGTAAAAATAAGATTCACAATTAATTCATAAATCGATAAATAAAACAATTAGAAAACGTTTAATAACTGTAAAAGACAAAAGACAAACCCAATAAAAACATTAAGAAACGCCTGATGAAGGCGCAATTATTGACAAGTAAATTATCTTTTCACTAGATGGCAATAGTAAACGACAAATTAAACATCAAATGAATTCAATGATTGAATCAATTAAATCAACAAAAATCATTGCTTTTACATCAGAATTTTTGCTTAAATAAGACTAAATTAAAAAGCAAATTTCTGATCATTTAATCGAAATATTAACATGACATTTAAATGAGCAGAAAATGTGCTTCTTCAGAATAATCTTTGCCCTGAAAACATAAAAAAATGTCAAATGAATTTACCTTTTCTATTTGATTTGATTAATCTCTTTTCAGAACTCGTTTTTGTTACCATTCAAACAACAATGGAAAGCAATGATATACGATTGAACATTTGTTTATCATTCTGATCATTAAATGCACAAAAAACTGAAAAGAATAAAAAGTAAGAAAAAGAAATAAAAAAATATGAATTCAATGAAAATCGAGAAAAGTGAACAAAAAAAGTCAATATAAATATGCTATTATAACCGTTACCAAATCATTTGTTGTTTCAAAACATCAATTCAATTCAATATTCATCATGTTTGTCTGATCGAGAAAAGAATGAAATTTTGATTCATTTTCAATATTTTTATCAAAGTTATAAAGTTGATCAACAAAAGAATGAGAAAAGAAAATCATTTTAAGGTTCATCTGATGCAGAATTCAATTTATCTTGAAGATTGAACACAAATGAATACAAATATGAAATACATTGAGGGTTGAAATTTCATGCACAGAATATGATTAAAACATTAACAGCATGAGAAAGCTATTGAATATGAAAAGATGAATAAAGGATGAAAAGGAAAACAAAAAAGGTTGGAAAAGGGATTGAACGAGAAGAGTTTAAACAATTAAATTTCAAATGTTAATCTTGTTAATCTTGTAAACTTGTTAATCTGATGAACACTGATTGAAAATTAGGTTAAGGGAAGAGGAATGAATGATTGTTAACTAATTAAGAGTAAACATTTAATTAAATTTGGTTAAAGTGAGTTAAACGACGGAAACTGAGATCATTTTTTAATTACTATAATCATCATCAAAAGCATTATCTGATTTGTTAATGAATGAATAATGAGCTGAAGAGAGAAGAAGAAGAAGAAAAGAAGATCAAATTGTGATCCTGAAAATGATGAGATACTTCAATGGATTCTAATTAATTGTTCAGTTTTTCAATCAACAATAGAAACAAAAGATTACAAGTTGAAATAATGATCAGCCAACAGATCATCGAGTTAAAGTCGCAATAATTTTCTAATTCAATAACAATCGTAATTCAAGTGATTAGCTATCGATCGAAAAACGAAATATTTCAAGATCAAGTTCAGTGAAACCCAAAAGTCAAAGTTTTTCATCAAACATTGACTGTTCAGAGCAAAGCGTTTGGCCCATTTCCAAAGAATCGAATGTAACTTTTGAATGAACTTAGCGGCTTGAGCGAGTTCTCGAGAGATAATCGAAGCTTGAGATCGTAAGACTTTTTGTGTTGAAATTATTAGAATAGCGATGAAACGAAAATCTTTTTTTTAAGTTTTTTCGAAGTGATGAGAAATGCAACATTTTCATCATTTAGTGTGTGACTATTGAAGTGTATTTTGCTTGTAAATTGATTTTTAAAGTTGATTCGGATGAATGATTGTTCTGGACAGAGTTCAGTTGAAGTTTATGGAATGGAAAAAAGCTGGTGAAGTTTGATTGTTAAAGCTGTCCTTTTGGTCACTTGACAAGAGTCAAAAAGGTTGACTGAATTTGAATAATGAAACGTTAAAAACCATTGAACATTTGTAAATAAAGTAAATATCAAATTCATGATCAACTTTGATTTATGACATGAAAAGTGGCATCTCAGACGATCATGGGTCAATCTTGAAACTGATAAAAGCAAAACCTGGCGAGACAAAGCAAAAGACAATCAAATATTCAAAAAGTTGATTTTCTATAAAATGATTAACCATAACTTTCGATGAACAATTTCAATGATGAATACAAGTCCATCTTGTTATTCATTTATTCACTCATCCAATCAGATGAACCGATTGATCAACAATAAAAATGATAAATTAATTGGTCAAGTTAAAGTGAAACGCAAAAGACAATTATTCTCATTATTGATTGCTATAAAATAATAATTGTCATCAATGAGATTCTGTTGGCAACAAAAGCATTTACTCAATTCCTCAATTCATTTCTTCACTTTGCTTCAATTATATAACCTTTCATCATTATCAGCTCATGATCATCATTTATCCTGGTTCAGCCTGAACCAACCTAATCTGATGGGAAAAACTTGAAGATTGTTTAATAACAAAAGACAAGACTGGAAGAAGAAGAAGAAGAAGATGAAAAAAAAGAGTTTCACCTCTTAAACTGAATTAGTTTGCATCATCATTGTCATTTACCTTTTCCCATCTTGTTCAACTTCCATTGAGAGTTAATCATTATTTTGCCAATAGCATGATAACAAGATCATTATGGATCTCAAGGTAAGGATGATGGCGACGGAAATTGATTGGCTGGCTTAACTTGTATTATCAAGTGGAAGATGATGTTTGATGGTCAACGTGATGAAGGAAGTTGTGAGTAACAGTATTGCTCCAACTGACCAGAAGATGAAAGAAGAGCGTTTCGCCTGTGATCAAAGATGAAAGTAAAAAGAAAACGGAAGTTGAAACTGAGCAAAGTAAAGAAAGAAATGATTCGGAAGGAATCCTGGTTAAGGTATACTTTGTTGACTAAACACACATAAAAAGCATGTAATGAGTGAGAAGATATAGAAGAGGAAGTAATATGATGATGATTACCCTGATTATCATGATTATTATTACGATTATAATGTTTGATTATTACGCTTTAATATTGGCTTAGTTCATCATCGCCATAATTGTAATGTTCAATGTTCATGGCCAATTTTGGGTTAAACTCATTCAACCATTTCTCAACATCATTTTCAATCATTAAGATTCATTCACTTTTTAAGATGAAACTTGAAGCCGGAAAATAAAGGATTATTTTAATCATTTTTTTTTCTTCTTCTTTTTTTCGCTTTTCCACTGAAATTGCAAATCCAGCGGAAGTGTCTAATAATATGTTTAGCAGTTAGAGATAATTGATGGTTAAATTGATTAAATTAACAGCATTTTAGGAGTGCGTTTGGTGAGGTTCTTTTCTTGTCGTTTGACCAAAGAGTTTGGTTTCATTTGTTTTTACATGAAACTTGGTGAGTCGAAATTAGGATTTAATCGAATGGATAATTCATCATGTTACTGCCTTTTATTATTTTCCATGATTAATGATGTCAGTGTTTTGTGAAAATTAAGTTATTGCTACATGATTGTTTGGTTCATGGGGTTGAGCTTTCAATTGAATCCTGGAAACATAATGAGCATTAATTAACAATAAATTTGTTTAATTTCACTTTTAATCTTTCATGTTGACATTTTGTGCCGGTAAAGGCATAATTTAGAGTCCTATCTTTGCAATTCAATTATTTTTGTTCAACATTTACTTTTCAAGTTGTCATTCGCATCAATTTAATGGTTTTGCGATTAACATCGATTACCGTTTAAACTGAAATAATGTTACAAAAATTGTAACAAAAAAGTTGCCAAGAAAAATTAAATAAAAGCTTTTGGTCATTTAGCATTTGTTTAATTTTAGATTAATGATTCACAATTGAGTTTCTTTGGGTTCTGTAAATTACTGACAATCTTTGTCAGATAAATGGAGCTTTATATTGGCTCTTGATATCAAACATTAGCAATGTTGAATTGTGCAAAATTTTGACTAAAAAAACGCAAGTTCGTCAATCAAAAAGTCGATCTCTCTTTGCGCTTCTTCTAAAAAATTGTTGAGTTTATGAGTTTTTGCTCTTAACATCCAATTCCTCTTTCGTATTATACCGGGCGTTTTTTTCAATTTACGTCTTCGTGCATGCATGACTCACGAACGTCTAGTGCTGCAGACCTCAGACTTGAAACATGCGCTTATGCAGATTGACCAACCATAAGTACGAAGGTCAAGGTTATTCAAAGTAAATTCTTCATTTGACCTCTAATTGAGATTTTCTGAAACCGCAAAGTTTTTCTGACCGGTACTTGTTAGTCACCATTGGAAAGATAAACGAATTTTTCATAAATGCAATTGATTAACTGAACGGTATGGAATCACTCATGTTCTTAGCCAGTATGAATTATGGCCAAGTGACTAACATTAACCGGTCATAAAAATTTTGTGGTTTCAGAAAATGACCTTTCAATATCAATTAGAGGTCAAACAAAGAATTGACCTTGAATAACCTTGAGCGTTCTAACTTATAGTTTTTCAATCTGCATAAGCTCAATGTTCAAGTCTAAGATCTGTAGCATTAACCGTGAAATATGCCTGCCTGAAGCGTAAAATGAAAAAAACGCCCAATACTTTCGGTTAGATTGAAATACTAAATACAATTTTTGATAATCCGGCTAATCCTGTGGTTTTTGCATCCAAAACATAAACCTTCGCCTTTCATTGAAGATCCCAGTGAATTTCTAGTATTCATTCGAAGAAATATTTCAGTTATGCTTCCATTCGAAGTCATTATTCTCAGAGTTTTGGACATTTAGCACAAATAAATAATGGCAAAACTAAGGAATCAATCTCGGAAACTAAGAAAATAATTATTGACAAATGCTTAACAGATCAAAATCAAATTTGTGCAGATTAGATTTCATTGGCTTGAATTATCTTACGCAATCAGGGCTATATCACCATCTTAACTTAGCTTTAGTTAGATAGTTGGTTTATTAATATCAACTAATCTAATTATCTTGCAGGTCTGCTTTTTTGATTGTAGCAATGTCGGGCTTTTGATTGAAACGACTTCAAGAAATCTCGACATTTTGCAATCTCGTTGATTTCTGCCGGTATACTAGTGCCCATGAACCTGTAATAACGGAGATACAGGTAACAAATACATCAATATTCTGTGCCTCAATATTGTAATAAC